GGTTATTATCCGATTTTTTAAATTTTCGGCCATTTAGTATGCTGTACTAAGGCCAACAACTGTGCAAAGTTTGGAATAAATTGATGGTTCGGTTACCAAGATATACACATGTAACCATAAGTGGGCGTGGCTACGCCCATTTCCAAAAAAATGTTAATATTCTTATTTTTCGTCTAAAATTTATTATAGATATCAATTTTGAGTGAATTATCTTCAGTAGTTACTAAAATATCGCAGTTTTTGTATTTCTGAAAATTACCGTTATATGGGAGGTAGGCGTGGTTATTGTCCGATTTTGCCCATTTTCAATACCATCCGTCCTACGCCCGAAAGAAGTGCACATACCAAGTTTCGTTAAGATATCTAAATTTTTACTCGAGTTATCGTGTGCACAGACGGACAGACGGACGGACGGACAGACAGTCACCACTTAATCGATTTCTCTTTTCATCCTGATCATTTATGTATACATTTGTCTATATCTATCTCGATTCGTTTTGCCTGTTACAAACAACCGTTATGTGAACAAAGTTATAATACCCTTGTGCACAAGTGCGCACGGGTATAAAAATTAATTATATTTTTTAGTTGCAAATAAAATAAAAATAAAAAATGTTTTCCAAAAACGACTCCATAAACCCTTTAGAGGATATTTAAGACTACCTACATATTTCAATTCATATTAAAGATTTTTGCGTCATTGTAAAAAATCGAGTGACCACTTGGCGAATTTCCACTCATAAACCTTTTTTTAATATTCGCGAATTGCGTACACATATATATTAAATGTATATACGCAACGCCAGAATGGCTTTTTCGTTTTGCATTGCATGCAACAAGAGTCTGTTTCATTACCAGCTGAATAATATCTACAAAGTGATCGTGCAAAAACGTCGCAATGGACGCAGATGGTGTAAGTACATCTAAAAAATCACTTTTAAAATTTTTTAAAAGTATAATTTTGTTTAAGTTGATAATATTATAAATAAGCATATTTTTATATTCTTATAGAATTTAATGATGGCTTCCTCAGCTAGCAACGATCCCAATACATCCAGAATCCGAGGCCCAGTTGAGAAATTTATAACCAGTTATGAAGTATTAAAGTAAATGTGCGATATGTACATACGCACATATGTAGTTATTATCTGAAGGCTGTTTTTATTTTCTTTAAGTGTGCATGTAGGAATTAATTAAATTTTAGGTATTGAAAAATGTTGCTTTTATTACTTACAATGAAATACGTATGTAAATATAAGACCGATTTTTCTTTATTAAGTAGTTATAGAAAAATCTAATTACACTGTGAGACAAATGGTAGGGGTCAGTGATCGGGAAGGGTTCAAACTACCGGGGAAAGTAATAACGGAAAAAAAGAAGTTATACGTGTCCCGGCGTTTCGCTGGGTCAAGTCTAGGAATCGAGATATATATATAACTATCATATAGGGGAAATTGTCACCTTTGGTGGTCTTTTTTTGACATAACTCGAGAACCACTAGTCCGATTTTGCTCAAACAAATTAAAAAAAATTAGAAATTACAATTCCTTTAATCTGTTCATATAACATTTTTCTATATAATCAACAGTTTTGCCGGTAAAAATAAATGTATGAAGAAAAAAAATATTTTTTGCCTAAAATATTAAATTTTTTTAAAACTGTTGATTATATAGAAAAACGTTATATAAACAGATTAAAGGAATTGTAATTCTTAATTTTTTTAAATTTGTTTGAGCAAAATCGGACTAGTGGTTCTCGAGTTATGTCAAAAAAAAGACCACCAAAGGTGACAATTTCCCCTATATGATAGTTATATATATATCTCGATTCCTAGACGTGACCCAGCGAAACGCCGGGACACGTATAACTTGTTTTTGACCGATATAACATTTCCCGTTGGTTTCATCCCATCCCGATTTTGACTGTCGCATGGTGTTATTAGTTATTTTCAATAAATTATTAAAAAAAAACATGGTAAAACATACATATGTACATGGCATTTTTTTGATTCTTTTGCTTCCTTTTATTAAAAGGCAAATCTTTTGCTTTGCGACAAAACCAGACATTCGAATATTCACTGTGTTTCGCCAGATATTCGCACACTCTTCGTCGGCAGTACAACTCTCTTGTATCTCTTTGCACAACATGTGTCTCTTTATCTTGTACCAAAGAAGCAGTTCTTACTATTCTCTGCACACTCATTCATTCATCTTGCTTGCTAAGGGTTGAATGAGCAAACAGTGTGGAGCACAAACGACTGTCTCATAAATGCCAACCACTACATTCATGCAGCTTAGAGGTATACGCCGCCGGGCCATGCCGCCGCCGCTGTTTTTTGTCATTTCTCACGCGCAGCCGCCGAGTAACGAAAATATCGGCGCGGCGGCGGCGGCGGCGGCGGCGACGGCGTTCGGCGCCTAAGGAGTTTTGTACAAAATTTTCATGTTGTATGCACATTGAAATACATCGTTTGAAGGAACCAAATACTACTCGTATAAAAACACTATTTTACGAAATGATAATTTTGGCCACTGAACATTTCAAAAAGAAGCGTAACTCAGAAAAAACATAGGTAACACGTTTTTCGATCGAAAGCGTTCAATACAGATAAATTAGGGTCGAATACTGGTAATCTGACGATTTTTTCCGCAGTAGAAAATTTTTTTCAATACAACAACAATACTACTTTTTTATATACTACATCAACAAGAAAGTTATACACATCAAAAACTTTAACGCCAATATCTCAGAAAGCAGTTTTAACTGAAGCGCCCTTATTGCATCTAACTCCTCAATTATTGGAGATAAAACAAAGACTAGTTGATTTTTCTGTGTGTTTTTTTAAATATTTTAAACAGAATTTTATTAAAAAGCAAAAGCTTTTTTTGCTTATTTTTACATTCGTAAGTAACTTTATTCTGGGGTCCCACAAACGTATACAAACTAGGTGGCTGTGTGAAAATCACGTTAGTATTCCTAAGTAGTGGTCAAACCCCAGGAAGGTTTTGCTCCCGCGCATAGCACTATTTTCTACACAGAGTTAAAGTCCCACTTTATGGTAAAAATTACTATTATTTTGCATTACATTGTGTTCTCCTTAGAAAAATTTGGCGCTTAATATATTAATGGAAATTTTAACTATTTATAAGCCATTTTTCAAGAAAGTGGGTCAAAAAGGCCCGTTCTGGTGGGAGTTGATGGGTTAACTTTTTGGAAAAAAGTAGGCCAACCTTATTTTCAATATTAACCCGCAAAAAATCGTAAGAACTCCGTAATTTAACATAACGGTTGATAAGCTTATTGCAAAAATTTATTGATAGTGACATAAATTACCCCAATAAGTTAACCTTTAAATTTTTTTATTTCTTTAAATTGAAATAGTGCATACGGATTTGTAGTGTACATAATATACATACATATACAGATGTATGTATATTAGGGTGCCCATCGAAAATCGTTTTTTTGTACGTTAGTACTACATATTTTCAAATTGTCAATTGTATTCAAATTATCGATGGTCAAAATTTAAAAAGTTCCTTGAAATTCAAACAAAAATATTTATTCAAAAACTCATGAATATAGAAAATCGTATTTTCTGAGCTAAATCGACAGGCCGCGACCTCTAAATGGCCTTTAAAAAATCTATAAAAATAGGCAGTAATATTTCTCATAAAAACGAATCAAATTAGGGGGTAGGGTCTTTAAATTTTCAAAAAAAAGCATTTTCGATGGGAAACCTAATGTATATACTATATAGACTTTCTTCTGTTCGCCCATCCATCAGTAGCAGTCACTCAACATTTGAATTCAATGAATGAATTAAATAGAATTATAATCTGATGACATGATAAGATTAGAAGCCTCATGGCTATTTGGAATCTACCTTATGGGCAGTAGCGCCGGCGTTTCCAGACGACGCCGCCGCCGATTCTTTTTGAAGTTGACCACGCCGCCGCCGCAAAGCCTGTCGGCGTAAACCTCTAATGCAGCTGTCTAGTAGATAATAAATAATTACTGATTTCATAAAAAAAAGGCGTGAGTACTAGGTTCTCATGAAATTTGATGTGTAAACATATGTATGCGTACGGAAAAGCATAAAAGCACATTTACATATAAATATAATATCCATGACAACTCGAGGAAAAGTTAAGTTTCTTCTCTGCGCCAGCGTGGTCACTTTTTCCTGCTAAACATAGTAAGAAATTGAAATATAGCAATTTTAGCAAGCTTTTATTAACCACCTGTATGTATGTATGTATGTATGTATGTATCTTTGTATGTCCTGGAACTTTGCAGTCAATATTTAACAAACTTCCCGATGAGCTACAGACTTGAAACTTCAAACATAGCTCAGTACTCGATGAAAATGCAATATAAAAGATGACTTAATCCGCTAGGTGGCGCAGGAGTCGAGATATTTGTAAAACCCACATTTATAGTCTGATTTGGTTCATATTTGGAACATATATTACTTATGGCTCATTCCATCTCAAATCACCCGGGGGAAAGTGAATTTAAGTTTGCGATAAAACTCACAGGGATTGTTCCTTGAACAATTTAAGGAGACACGTATTTTTTCTTTTTGCTCAAAATGCGAATTTTTCGAATAATGAATTTTTTTCTTTTTGAGTACGAACGCTTCTTTTTTCCTCTCGTAACAGCAACTTTTGATGAAATCGTTTATAACTGCCGAAAAAAAGCAAGGATTTTAAAGATTTTTTTCAATTGCAGATATTGATCTACTGAATCGATCTAGTGAACTAATAATCAGTAATTGTTTATTAATAATTAATTATTGTTTATAAACAAAAAAAAATTTTTTTTCA